TATCTTAATGACAAAGTAGGCAGATTATTATCTTGAGAGTGTTTTTGGAGACTTTGCGTCTGGTTTTGGAGATAGAGTCCTCTTTCTCTAAAATAGACCCTTATTATTTATAGAGGGGGATGAACTCGTAATGATAGAAACTGCGACAAGACCTTTGGCTTGTAGTTCAAGGTCAGCTGCTAGTTCGTTGATCTTAACCAGTTCATAGAGGGAATGATGGAGGATTTCTAGCAATGATCGTCGGTTTTCTTTGTGGAGTTTTCTTGATTTGACTTCCTGTACTTAAAATCTTGGCTGGCAATTTTGATCTTCTAGTTTTGGGGGTTTCAGTACGACTTGCTTTCTTGCTGGGCAAGCAAGAGGTCAATTCGTCATTAAATGCGATAATCTCCTTCGGCCTCCCACGTGGGTTCAAAAAACACGCTTATCAATTTCTAACGTGTAGCGTGAGATAGAAGTCTGACTTTCCTAAACTTGGGCCTTTTTATTCATCCCCTCAAAGAGGCCCAATCGTTAGAAGGATGGTCTTTCCGAGACAAACAAGTGCTAATGGGCCTGACTCTATCTTTTAAAATATCTTTTCAAACCGTGCGATCATTTTTGGCCTGTCTACCAAAATTGGGTACAAAGAACTATGTTAGCAACGCAAAGCATGCATGATACGATGGTGCCATTCAAAGAACCAAAATTCCTTCCCAAACTAGAAAGGACTTCTCTTGACCCCAAAAAAAAAAAAGTAGAGAGGTGTTCGCAAACAATAATATGCACGATATACTATTTGTGCCCATCAAGATGTCATGTTCTCATATGCAATATATTATACTTCAGAAAATTTAGGTATAGGTACCCATTTAAATATTGCATCTCAAAATAAAGGAAGCAAGCTGATTAAAAAGATCAGATCCAGTAGATTTCTTTTTACCTAAAATGCAAGAACCAGTAGATTGCTTGTCTTTTGTAGGTCTATGGCAATGACCAAGTGTAATAAGTTCCAACTGTAAACCTCGCCAGGTGCATTATGTCTCCTTCTAGCTTCATTATTTGCAGGCCGATTTGATTTATGATGACATGATTTTCCATATAAAGTATGGCAGGGGAACTCGGGACTTTGTTCATCTTCTCTGGTGTTTAAAGGGATCAAGCCACAACATTTCTTCCGCAACGTCATCAATTCCCTTGATTGAACAAGCTCCATTCACATCAATAGGTGAGATCTGCAACAAGATCAAAATGCAGTCGTCTTTCACATCAGCAAACATCATATATTAAAATGCAAAGATATCATTCAACATTTAATGGATTTACATACTTTGCTCCTCATCAATATCAATATGCCTCCGCTTTGGATGATCTGCTGGTTCTGAAAACAAGGTAAGGTATTGCTCTTCATGATCATGATCCATGACGACAACGTTAGGACCATGATTATCAACTGCGATGGTATCTGATCCACGAGGCCTCTTCCCAACACCACTCGTTGATGCTAAAGACAAGGAAACCAATTCATCTTGGTAGTGACGATGGATATCATCGTCAACTACCATGATCCCAGTCTCACTGACATCACCAACCTGGTGGCCTAATAGGTGGACCCCACACCTTGTCATCGGCCCTGCACCGTGGTAGTAAAATATAACTTGACACATATTACCCTGTTGCAACCGCCTCGGTCCTTCCACCATGTTCTTGTTCGGATCCAATAATGGACTACAGTTGAGCCAAACATGAGTTTCCTCTAACTTAATAGCATAATCAGCCCAAATCCATATCTCGTTGACCTGTTTTCCATTTATGAGAGTCTTGGCGCGAAACTGACAAATATTATACGTCATGAGATCGAAAACAGCACATAGAGCCAATCTTGACGTCTCCCATTCTAAATTTGGAGGAATTTCAAAAAAAACTTCACATTCAGCAAAGTATTCCCCTTTATTATCTGAAAAAGGATCTGCAAATACTGTTGCCTCTTTACAACAGCTAAACCACTTTGGAACTTCAGTTCCTGGGACTATAATTTCGATTATAGAACTCTGAGAAGATGCCTAGAATAGTTACAACAATCATTGACTTAAAACGTGTGTGTGTATATATATATATATATATAGAGAGAGAGAGAGAGAGAGAGAGAGAGAGAGAGAGAGAGACCTGATTCAACAAAATGTTTTCTGTGATGTCACAGCCACATAGTCTAAAGCAATTAGTCAAATACAAATGCTGAAGCCCTGGTGACAGTTTTGGAAATTTTTCCAATGACGTGCAACTATTCATGGTTACTGAAGTTAATTTTGGTGGAAGCACTTCTGGAATTTCCCGAAGCCTCTTGCAACCACACAATCTAAGGCTGAGCAAGTTGACAAATTTGCTAATGCATTCCGGAAGACTGACAAAATTGTTTCCGGAAAGATCAAGTTCTTCTAATGTGGACCAGCAATCGAGAGGCGGGAGAAAATCACTTTCTGATAGATTGCATCCTCCGAGAAAAAAGAAACGTAGCCTGGGAAGCGCTAATGAGAGAGAGTTGTCATCCGAAAAATTTGAGCCATTTAAAAGCAGCTGTAATTCAGTGTAGCTGGATGAAACTTCAAAGTTAACCTCATTGCCAAAAGTAAGGAGTTTTCGACACCCTTTGACACTAAGCTCACCGAGACGTTGCAATCCATATATACGATGTAATGACGCATTTGAAAGGTTCTCACAATAATCAGCTTTTAATACTTCAAGACCAGTAAGATATGCAATTGATGAAGGCAATTCTCTTATGCCACTTCCTTCCATATCCAAAATGATTAGCGATTCCATCTTGTCCTCTATTTCTGGGAAACTCTCAAGCCTTTTACAATCACACAGATAAAGTCTTTCTAAGGATTTCAATCTAAGTCTTGTTCCAAACCTTGTAAGCTGAAAGCATTCTCTGAGATCCAATTCAACAAGTTTATCAAGGAATCCAACAGAACTATCGACCTCAACCAAACGTTTACACTCACTTAGATTCAAGTACTTCAAATTTGGGATTCCAGATAAGTCAACGATTTTTTCTAAGAATTGGCAACCACTTAAATTTATAGATGTCAACTTTGGGAATTTCTGTGAGAAAAATACACAAAATAGGAAATGATCAACCACACGCCAAATGTAAGGAGTTTTGAACACCTGATGACACTAAGCTCAAAGAAATATATTTGAGATAATAATAGATGAAAATAATTTGAAGTGCGTACCTTAAATCCCTCCAATTGTCTGATATCACTGCATGGCATATTGAACACAACAAGATGCCTTGCATGAAAATTGGATGGCAATAATTGTAACTGGCATCTACCCCAATCAATGAACCTCAACTCGTTGGGTAGATATTCAACATATCCAGATAGAACTGCATTACAGTTTATGAAAATTTCAAGATTTACCATCCCGAAGAAGCTTTTTGCATTCAAGGGTATCTCATCTGGCTTGGGAAACTTCACCATGATGCCTTTAATTTTTCTTGTTCCCTGAGATGAAAAGATAATAATATTAAGAAACCAAGTCGTTCTTCAAAGCAAAATGCAAGTTCATTTTGTTAAGAAAATTATTGGTTACAACAGGTACTATTTCAGATTGAATATAAGGACATATATTATACTTACGCTATTTTCTGTTAGAACACGGTAGACATCCTCATGAAACCACAATCTACTACGCTTGCCAGGCTCAATGGGGCACTCTTTGTGAACTATATCCTTACCCAATTTTTCTAGCAAGTCATGCATCAAAATCCGATTATATTGAATAGTTATCATTGCCTTCTCAACCAGGACTTCAATACAAACTTGGGAAGCCTTGTGCTTAGAACTTAGTATTTGCATCACATTGTCCTTATCTTCACCCTTGAAGAAACACGCCATGTCTAGAAAAACTTGTTGCACTGAATTATCTAATGCATCATAACTTTTTCGAAGTATTTTCTGTATACCTGTATAAGGTTCTCCTTCATAACCATCTAATATGGCTTGCCAACGATGTATACCTTTATTACGAAGATGAGAACCTAAAAGTGTTAAAGCTAGTGGAAGGCCTTGAGCATAGGCTATTGCTCGTTTTGCGAGTTCCAAATAATCATTTGGAGGTTCATTTCTTCCGAAGGCATTCAAACTGAAAAGCTCAAGAGCTTGGTTGTCATATAACTTATGGACCTCGTATATCAACTCAATTCCATAACATTTTAGCAATCCGCTATCTTGTGTAGTTATGATGACTCTACTACCCTCACCGAACCAACCAACTCCAGCCAAGTTGTCTAATTGCTCCAATTGATTCACATCATCAAGAATTAAGAGAATCCTTTTATGCCTTAGCAATTTATGTATAATAGAGATACCTTTATCAGCACTAACAATTTTCAACTTTTTGCCACCTAGAATCTCTTGAAGAAGAGTCTCCTGCAGTTGGATTAAGCCTCCATGTGGCATTGAATTTTCTCTAACATCTGCCAAGAAACAACACCCTTCGAACTTATGAGCAATTGCATTATAAACAGCTTTCGCAATTGTTGTCTTGCCTATTCCAGATGTCCCCCAAATCCCAACTATGCGGCGACCATCCCCACCAGCACATAAAAGCATTTCCACAGCTCTTACACAAGAG